CCATTTTCCATTCTACAGCGTGTGAGCACCATTGCATACAAAATTCAACTACCACCTATGTCCAAACTTCATAATGTCTTCCATGTTTCCCTTCTCAAACCTTTTAAAGGGAGACCTTCAGCCTCAATTCCCCCGCTACCTCCAATGGAAGATGGTCGTGTTATCCCCACTCCAGCTTCAGGTTTGCGCACCCGACTTAATAGAGGCATGTGGGAACTTTTAGTACATTGGAACAGAATGGATGCAGCTGATGCTACTTGGGAAACCCGTAAACATTTCCAGATTGCTTATCCAGACTTTGAGCTTGAGGACAATCTCTTTCTTCAGGGAAAGGATGATGTTATAAACTCTTTTGTCGGCCGTTCTTACTGCAAAAAAAAGCAAATAACGAGCTGATATGGTTAAGTTTTATTCTATTGCAGAAAAATATCTCTTATTTAGGAAAATTTATCTCTTAGGAATTTAATTTTTTTTTTAAGACTTATTTCCTAATTAGGAATCTTCTTTATTTTTACTATGAGAAACCTAAATAATAAAGGTTTCCTATAATGTAATGCATCCACTCCTATTTAAAGAACTCCAAAATTAATAATGAGGTAAGCAGAATTATAATTACAATATAGAAATCAGAGTTCTCTCTAACCAGGTCCAAGGTGTCAAACTCCCTTTGATAAGTTTGAAAATAATTCACAATAGATCACTCATATAATCATAACAAGAAAAAAAAGTAAGATGCAGAGTCAGATTATTCGTTGAACTACCAGGGAGTAAGATCCTGGTCTCAAGAACATAACGTAATCCTAATATAAATAAAAAATAATACTAATAAGAATAAATTCTAATCTCTAATACTCTTAAATAATAAACTAAAAACGCTCCAATAATAAATAAAATCCTATCATGACTATACGCCAGCAATTCTCCAGGAGCAGGGGAAAAAACTCGACTCCATTGAGTTGAAATCATAGAATATGGCATGGACGTCAGGGTTTAACCTCTTAAGGTTAGAGTAGAAGAAAAGCCTTTTACGGAGTAGATAATAACACCAGTGTCGAAGTGTTTGGATGACAACATAAAATTCTTTATACTATGTGGTATACCTCTATTTTTCATCATTAAACCTCTCACTAAAGTAGGCTATTGAATTTCCTTCCTGACTAGTATGCCACTAATACCTACTTGAAATGCATCACAAACCACTTCAAATATCCTAACTAAGACGTAAGACTGGTGCTTTTGTCAATTTCTTCTTCATAATCTCAAAAACTCTAGACATTGTTTTGGTCTAACAAAATTTTCTATTCTTTGCGGTTTGTAATGGGTGTCATTATAGTACTAAAGCTTTTAATAAATCTTCTAAAAGAAGATTTCAACCCGTGAAAGCTTCCTACTTTCTATAAGCTTCCCACCAATCTTAAATAGTTTTTTTCTACGATCAATTTATACCCCTTTGAAAGAGACAACGATATGCATTAATGTGCATTTTTTCTTATTAAAACAGAATTTTTCTTGGCGGAGTACTCTCATAATTCGTCATAAAATAAAAAATGTCCCTCCTTAGACTTACCGAAGATACAAATATCACGAAAAAAGACAACAAGAAATCTCCCCTTAAAAGCTTGAAAAAAATTGATTCACGATGCGCATGAAGGTACTTTGTATATTAGACAATCCGAATGACATGACTAATCACTTATACAAACCAATTTTTGTTGTAAAAGTTGTTTTTTCGTTCATCTCCCGGCCTTACACAGATTTGGTGATATAGGCTCATCAAATCTATCTTAAAAAAGCATGTCGAGCCTCAAATGAGATCTAACATGTAATTAAGATGAGGAAGGGGAACAAGAAAGGTGGATGAGGGATTAAAGGTGAGTTACATTTAACATGTGGAGGTTGCAATCCTCCATCAATTACAACAACATGAGGAAGGGGAACAAGAAAGGACATGGATTAAATGTAAATACTTAATCAATATTAGGTCATATCATTTCTTAAAATGCTAGGGGAATCAATGACCATAAGAACTTTGATGGAAGCCTGAAGCAATCTGCCTCTAGGAAACTAAGATGTACTACACTTTGATTGGCAATGCCCATGACTTTGGAAGATTGAGGGGACTAGTTGGAAAGAACTTCGAACAAGTGGGCCAAATTTCCACTGCATGGCAAATCATCACAGGAGAATCAATTATATGGAAGAGATTAATAAAGACGGTCATTTGGTGAAGAGTTGTTCTATGCAAGCTGGACGTAGAAAAGTCTATAATCAAGTAAATTGAGGCTTTCTTGATTTAGATGTTAAGGCAACTAGGCTTCAAGGAAAATTGTATAAATGGATCAACTCATGTATATCAACAACTTCTTCTGTGGTTGTGGTGAACATGGGTCCATCATTGTTTTACAATGTCTCCAAAGAACTTAGATAAGGTGGTTTTTTGTCCCCTCCACTATTTATTATTGTTGTGGAAGATTTCATTAAAATGCTGTTAAAGGCTAGAAGCTGGATATGTCCAAGGGATTAAAGGTGTATCAACCTAGCCAACCAGATAAGAGGCTACCAAGCTAGCGAGGATTTTCGAGTGTAGAAGCGTAGATTTACTCATCAAATACTTGAGGATACCATTAAGCACTAAATATAAAGATGTGGCAACTTAGAACCCTATGGTGGTGAGTTTCGAGAAGAGATTGATTAGGTAGAAGAGAAATATTCCATCTAAGCGGGGGAGACTCACACTTAAAACTAGCAAGATGGCCAATATTTCCCCATTTATTATATTCCCTATCGAAAATCCCTGAAAGATTAGCTAAGAGATGTATGTCATTTAACATGGATATCATTTGGAGACGTGAGATGACTAAAAAGCCTAAATATCAAGGAGTGGTTGAGTTTGAGATCTTTGGTGGAGGTAAATAGGCTCTAAATAGGAAATGACTTCTGAGATTCATAAATGAAAATGATAATCTCTGATGGAGAAAAATAAAGGCAAAGTTTGGGACAGTGCATAAAGGATGGTATACCAGGATCTTGTCAAGACCCCATGGGAAGGGGATGTCAAAAAATATATGCATGTGCAGGAATAAATTCAAGGATTGTATTAGCTGAAGAGTGCGCACTATGAACAAGATTAGCTTCTGGCATGATGCCTAGTTAAAAAGAGGAGGCAACCCGAAACACAGTTCTCCCAAATTGATGATGTAGCGCAGTACAAAAATATTTCGATTCATAAGTTCTATAGTGGTAGGAAGAATCACAAAAAAAAAACAGAACATGATAGAGACTGGCGACAAGTGGGCTTCACGCGCTGGCTTTTGGTCACCCAACGGTGGCAGCCATTCAGCAGGCAGCTCAACTGGAGGTGTTGACCTAAGATTTGAAGCCGATGTAAGACACAAAGGTGTAGAAGCGCGGATTCGCCAGAGGCAACAATTGTGTGAGCTTTCACCGGCAAGTGCGGCAGTTTCTAGTGGAGTTTTACGGCTAGGCTTCCGGGGTCGATTTATTGGGGCCTTTCTGGAACTGGTGGGGGTGGCAGTATTGACCACCTCCAGCAATTGATTGGTGAACAATGCTCGCAACTATTTTACGGTTTTTGAATTTTTTTATAGATGAGTTTGGAATTGTTTGGCTGCAAGGTTTTGAGAATCTAGGAGTTGGATACTTTTAGCTAAAATACCAAATTGATGTAGGATAAATAGGACTGATTTATCCAACCAGAGATTTGAGATTAAAAAAAAAAACCTAGATATCACACCTAAGGTGATTTAAGCATAACATCTATGAAGTTTTAAGTATCATACTTAACGATTTGATTGCATCATAACTAAAAAACTGAGAAACTCTCAAAATATTATTAAATACTTGAATGGATAATAAGTATAATTTATTTATAATAATTTTTAAGTAACTTTTCCTAAATAGAATTAAACTAGGAAATAGTAATCTAATATAAGTAAGATTACTAATCCTTAGACAAATAAAAAAAAATATTACTAAAATTAAACTCCTAACTCTAATGAAACTCTTCAATAATAAATTAAAAACTTCAATGATAAATTAAAAACTTCCACAATAAACAAAATCCTATTACGGCAATGCGTCACTTTAAAGAGGCTATTTTTGCTGGGTTGTGAGTCTGCTGGTTGAAAAGAATTACAAAATATGTATGCTAAGATGTTCAACCGTACAATGGCATATTGAAAGACAATGGTGTTTTCTAATGTTCTTTGCCCTAAAGACCACAGTTTGCTTAAGAGGGTTTTTATCCATGTTGCAAAGGAGATTGATGTAAATTAAGACAAATTTTTGTGACTCCTTTTTGTTTTATAAGACAGCTTATCTTTATTTAATCTATAATTTCTTTTTCCTTTCCAATGGTATTGCGTTTTTGTAATATATTAAAAATTTAAAAAGATAAACATCTATGTCACCATGTCTTTCATTCTGCAGTATCTTTTATGGAGAAAATAAGATAATCAAAAGTACAAATTTGGAGGACTTTAAAATGATAAATGATATACATTATGCATTTATGGAATGCAATCGTACCTGCAAAAGATTCAACCAATTACAAAAAAAAGAACATTGCCAGTTCTATCAAGATTTAATCATTCGTCCAAAAGTATGTACAAGCACACAGGCATAGTAGATCATTGAAGAAAAAGAAAAAAGAAAAAGTAGAGTATCCAACCTGCCAAAAGCATCAAGCTGTGCGTGCAAAAGTTTATTGCGGAGGATTGGTGAATCCCCAACATCTTTTGATGCCGTATAAAATGTCAGCTCTGGACCAATAGCCTGCAATGAGGTATAGCAAGTCATAATAACTCTTTGTTATATTTAGTCTCGAAACTTAGTGTAGTATATTCTTTCATTTTGAGTTTTCGATTTGATCTTAAATTTCAATTGCTTTTAAGAAACTTCAAGGACAAACCTTGAGCATGTTAAATCGGTATGAAAAGTCAAATTACTCCCTTATACTCATAAATGAATCCATTGGAAGAACTCAAAAGACTTATATCAAAGGTTAAAACCATAAATATCCCAAACAAACTGTGGGTACATTGATGGATGTATCCTAAATGAATGCCGTCATATTAGTTATCGTGAAATTTCTTTTTGCACTTGAATTTTAATGAAGTAGCTATTTAGTTCCTAATTCCCAGATTTTAAATTTAAATTTTTAATGATTTAATACATACTTGGAGCAAGTGAAATAATTGTGAAAAGAAAATTATGCTAAATCCACCAGAATTTCAGATGTTATTTAGAAAGAATGTTGCTTGAACATGTGAACTTTCCTAACCTGCACTCCTTGGTTTCATGAGTAAAGGTAAATGGAAGTTAAGAAACAATAAAATTCAGAAAAAAAGCAGTACTTGACCTGCAACTCAAGGATAAATTCCATATATCTACCCCCTGCGGTAGTCTGAGATAGAAAAGCATTACTACTCTCTCTCACAGAGTCTAGGTGCGGACCATCCCCTGCCTCAAAGTAGACACCATCATCCCATGAAGCAGAATACCTACTATTGGTTCCCAGTGAAATACAAGAATCCAAGTATTGCCCACTCTGAAACCAGCATAAAAATTAGCTGGTCTCTTCCAAAAGGTATGAACCTCCGCATTTTCATAGAAAGTGAAAAAAATATGAGTAAAATGTCATACCTTAATAACAACATTTTTGAATTGCAAACTTTTACCGTTGCCCACATATATCATAGCCTCTGAACTAGGTGAAGAGAGACAAAATCCATGTCTGTCTTTCAAATAGAGTATTCTACCCTCACCATCATAAATAAAATGATCAAATCTTTCATCTTCGACAATCAAAGGACTACATGGAGAAAGTGAGAACTCAGCAGCCGGTTGCCTGTAAGTTGATTTATCCATTAAAATTGCATCAACATGTAAATACTTATTATCTTCTTCAGTTGAAAGCATATTGCCGACTGTCGGAACAAAAAACTCAATAATTGCAAGCAAAAAGTCAAGTGCAACAAGCAGCTGTGGCCTTTGGATGCATATAGAAACAAATGTCGAGCATTGACCAAATTTTGCATCAAGATTAAGCATTGTAGGGACTAGTTTATCATCAGTTCCTTCAGTGACATTTGCATGATCACCTTCAAGTCTCGTCATCAATTAAGAACTTTGGGCTCATACTGATATCCTTTGGCTTCCCTATTGCCAGCCTAAATTCT